GGTCAGACGTTTCTTGTAGTTGGCCACCAGGTTTGCACACATCTCAGGAGGGATTTTGTCCCACTCCTCTATGCAGATCTTCTCCAAGTCATTAAGGTTTCGAGCCTGACGTTTGGCAACTCGAACCTTCAGCTCCCTCCACAGATTTTCTATGGGATTAAGGTCTGGAGACTGGCTAGGCCACTCCAGGACCTTAATGTGCTTCTTCTTGAGCCACTCCTTTGTTGCCTTGGCCATGTGTTTTGGGTCATTGTCATGCTGGAATACCCATCCACGACCCATTTTCAATGCCCTGGCTGAGGGAAGGAGGTTCTCACCCAAGATTTGATGGTACATGGCCCCGTCATGGACAGGTGTCTTTTATACAGCTAAAAAACTGAGATTAAGAGCACTCCCTTTAAGAGTGTGCTCTTAATCTCAGCTCGTTACCTGCATAAAAGACACCTGGGAGCCAGAAATCTTTCTGATTGAGAGGGGGTCAAATACTTATTTCCCTCATTAAAATGCAAATCAATTTATAACATTTTTGACATGCGTTGTTCTGGATTCTTTTGTTGTTATTCTGTCTCTCACTGTTCAAATAAACCTACCATTAAAATAATAGACTGATAATTTCTTTGTCAGTGGGCAAACGTACAAAATCAGCAGGGGATCAAATACTTTTTTCCCTCACTGTATGTGTCCAATGCTTGATAATATGTGTGATGTTAACAGAGAGGTATATTGTCTGGGTGACCTGAATATTGACTGGTTAGCAACTAGCTGTCCTCTTAAGAGGAAGCTTCTAACTGTGACGAATGCCTGTAATATGACCCAGGTTATCACTCAACCAACTAGAGTGCATACCAATAGTGTTGGATTTGTGACATCCACTTGTATTGATCATATCTTCACTAATGCTGCAGAGCTTTGCTCCAAAGCAATATCAGTTTCCATTGGCTGTAGAGACCATACTATTGTGGCAATAACAAGGAAAGCAGAAGCAGAAGTGCCAAAGGTTGGGCCTAAAGTAATTGATAAGACATCATACAAAATGTTTTCCCAGGAATCTTTTGTGGAAGATGTCAAAAAATTTATGTTGGTCTGATGTGTATGAGGAAGTGAATCCAGATGCAACACTGGACGTATTTGTACAATTATTCATGCCAATTGTTGACGAGCATGCACCTGTTAAGAAACCCCTGGATTAATGATGAATTGAAAAATTGTATGGTTCAAATAAATTATGCAAAAGGAGTGACAAACAAGTCAGGCTGTTCAGCTGATTGGTTGCCATACTGTAAATTGAGAAATGATGTGAATAAACTTAACAAAAATAAGAATAAATAATATTACCAAACAAAGATAATTGACATTAAACACAATGGAAAAATACTTTGGAGTACCTTCAATGATATCATGGGCAGAAAACCCAATTAATCTCCATCGTTCATTGAAGTTGATGGGTAATTTATAACAAAACCTTTTGATATTGCCAAAGACAATTTCACTAGTAAAGTGAAAAAACTCAGAAGTGAAATAACAACATTGAACAATGAACCATTATATTTTTGATAATGAGAGATTAACTGCTTCTTTTTTAGTTTTTATGAGAAATATTACTGTGAAGAAAATTCCAGATTGTCTGCATAATCAAATAACATTCAACTCATACATACCCCACAAGATAAGCCATCAGGGGTTTCTTTACAGTCCTCAAGTCCAAAAGGAATTCAAGGCAACGCACATGAAACTCCCTTCCATCTCCAATTACTCAAGCAAACAGCTAAATGACCTTTAAAAAACGGATTAAACAACAACTCATGGAACGGCGGGGACTCAGAGGGGACACACACAAACACACACACACAAAGACACACTCTAACACACATACTGTTTTTGTTGTTGTGTTGTTTGTATAATTTTTGTTGTTTCTATGTGAATTTGGTCGGGTTGCCCAAAAAGTTACATATTGCAGCTTTAAATTTGTGTGGCTGTCCTTGTCAAACAGTGTATCAGTGTATTGTTACTTGTCATGATTTGTGTTTTTGTGGACCCCAGGAAGAGTAGCTGCTGCTTCTGCAAAAGCTAATGGGGATCCAAATAGACAAACAAACAAAGCATGAGGCTCAACTTCTCCACTGTTTTGGTGCCCTGGCTACCACACTGTGAACAGTGTGAAGCAAACCCATGCACATGCGCAGATACTGTATGTAACTGTGTGAGAGCGAAGTCTTGCATCTTGCTCATCTCAATATCTGCGGTGCTGCTTGTGGAAACGTCATTTCGCTGAGTGTACCTTTAAGATGTCATATTCATCCATGGTTATATTTAGGTTGTTCTCCTATGGTGGGCAATCCAGGTTAGGATGAAGATGCCCATAGACGCTGACCCAAGGTCAGTTTAGTGTTTCCTCCTCTTACGGTTAAGGTTAGGATTGAGGGAGCGTAAACTGATCCTAGATCTGTGCCTATGGGCAGCCTCTACCTGGAAATGGCAGATACATTTGAGTTCCTCTTAATCCACTTATGCACATTCATTATTCAACAATACAAAACCACTCAGTCAAATCTGAGCACTTATAAAGATGCTACTCATACTTCCCCTTTCCGTAATACTTGGGGATGATATTCGATATGTACTGATTGCCTACAACTCTTTTAATTCATTGCCTAAGCACTGAGTAGCTAAGATGTATAAAAAAGGAAGAGGAAAAGGAATGTCATACTCCATGAGGCATGGTAAGACATCTGTTTGGTTTAGTGTTTCACTACTTTGCAGAAGCATCCGCAGGACGTTGTTACTACTTACTCTACAGTACACATCAGGCCTACACTGCAGACTACACATCCCATAGCCATGTTCTTCACTCCTGGTGGGACACAGTGTGGCCGGGAGTTAAGCAGGAGCACTATCTAAGACAAGAACGCCAGGTGTTTTCAAACACAGCTTAAACCTACAATCCTTAATTGAAACAATAACAAAGCGGGCACCCTGCCTGTGTTTTGGTAAAAAGCTGAGGGATGGGTCTGGATAAATGTAACCACTCTCAAATTCATAGACAGAGCTATGCTGCCCTACAAAGTCAAAACACAGTAACTACGCCAACAATGAAACTGAGAAAAATGGCTTTAAAGTTTTTTGCTAGCCAGCCAAATATGCTGTAGGTAGATAAGCAGTGATTAATTTGAGACGGATCCTATTTTCAATGTTTGCTTTTGAATAAAAGTTATCAGTGTTAATTTGAGTTGCCTCCTCTGTAATTCTCCTGCCCCCTAAAAAAGGTAATGTGGAAACGTGCCTGATATTCTAAGAATTGTTTTGTGTTGGGCAGGCCCGGGTTTATGGTTTGCGTAACACTGGACCCTAGCGACAGACCAATGCAATGTGAGAGAGAGAAGTGGGCTTGAATCTCTCACATAACTAGAGTGAGATTCACTGAAATGAAATATTCAGAATACTACACCAGGAGTAGGCCTATACTTTAGTCACAGTAAAACAAGAGAGAGATAGGCTTTTGGCACAAGCTCATCGGCCATCACCTGTGAGTGAGCTACACATCATTGGGCGAGTCAGTGAAACTGGAAAGCTTTTCTAGGACTATAATTTCCTCCTCATATTGTACAATATGTGTGTCTCCACACAGCTAGACCTAGGTTATTGATGGATTCAAGACGAGGTCATTTTAATTGATCTCAGATTCTCAGTTTGTCAGTGTCAAAGCAGCCTGTCATTTCAATCATTTGTGTGATTTAAAAAAAGATTCAGTCATGTAAAATGGTGTGTTTATAAAAAGCCACATCTTTCCCGGACCCTAGGCTACAGAAAAAAATTCCCCATGTATGCAACTTCTGCAAGCGCCTCTACTCTACTGCTCTATGCCACTAAGCAAAAGCAATGATAATGCATGCAATGCTTTATTATAAAGGTGATTTTTTTTTCATGTGTTCCAGTACCTCAGAGCCCCCCAGGTCACCCCCCTCTCGTGCTCACTTTTTGTTCCGGCACCTCCCGATTTACAAATTAAGCACTGTAGATAAATGATAATGCACTGACGTATCATCTTACTGTGAAGTAATTTTTATGCATATCAACCATGACCACTGACTTTACCTATGACCCCTAAAATGCAAATACTGCACTGTGCCTTTGTATGACCTTAAACAGCTATATGGGTAATGCAAAGGCAAAGTGCAGTATCTACAATCTAAATGTGTTTATCCACATTTCTTGTTGTTTTTCTGTTTGATGGAAACAGTTTGAGAGTTCTAACTACATTCCAACTGTATTTAATGGTGTTACGTAGTTACGTTTTCATGTTTTGAATGTTGTATTGTAGTAACCCTTAACCATAAGGTAAGGACTATTTCCACTCGCAGAATGTTTATACTTACAAAAAATATTAGACTTTGTGCAGTATATACAATCTAAATGTGTTTATCCAACTCATTGTTTTTCTGTTTGACTTTGTGTCATCATTTATTTGACTTAGGGGTCATAGGACAAATCAGTGGTCATGGTTGTAATGCATAACAAATTACTTCATAATAAGATAATACATCAGTGCATTATCACTTGTCTACCTACAACATATTTGTCTGGACAGCAAATAAACTTTCAAGCCATTTCTCTCAGTTTCACTGTTTGCATAGTTACTGCTCTTTGCCTTTGTATGGCAGAGCAGGTAACTGCAGTCAAAACACAGTGGAATAAAGTCAAACTTCAGTTACTGCTGTTTGCCTGGGTTTTTACTTGGATTTTATAGTTACTGCAAATTTCTCACTCCATTTTCTCTAAAATGGAACATAATTGAACCAGGACACAAGATCAAACAGATACTACAAAGCCTGATTTCAGTCTTAACTCAATTTTGACCAAATATGAAGTTACTGCATTTTGCCTTTGCAGGCAAATTATAGTTTTAACCATGTTTTGAGGCAATGCAGTATATGTTTACATTTACATAGTTTACAAACATTGGAGTAAAACAAGCTTGTATTTTGGGTTCTGATAGGACGTTTTATTCTTCAAGAATCAATGGGTATTCTATCATTAATTTCTAACTCCAAAAATGTATGTGTCAACTAAAGATTGCTTTAAGTGCCACTTTCTTTTTGTTGAACATCTATTAGATACTGAAAGGGAACTAGCATATAGATGGTCTTTCTGCACTGTCACCAAACCTCGAAAATTGAATCTCTGATCTCTGTTTCTCTCGCTACCCAGAGGTCTATCAACATTGGATTTAGTTCCTAGCACAGAGACACTTCTGTATCAACAGTATGAGGCTATGTCATTACTCTTTGCCCCAAGTCACAGTAACAGGTACAGAGTGCAAACTGAAGCCTACGGACAAACACCCCTGTGTCTTTGTTACTATGGATTCATGTTTCACCTTGTTAACTCTACTGAGTCCTCATTGCCATCCAAAGTCCTGGCCAGTCATCTGGTAGAACCGCTGGTTGTGCAGCCTGTAGAACTCTCTCAGTCTCCGGATCACTTCCGGGTCGATGGGGGCGTGTGTCCGGCCTTTAGTCTTCCCCAGGCAGTGGGGCTTGCTGCTTCCCTCTGGTTTCTTCAGGCAGGGGAAACCTTTAGTCTTATTGAAGTAGAAGTGCTTGTCCGTGACAATCCTCTGGAGGCCCAGGAAGTCCTGGACCTTTCCTAGTTCTCCTGCCGGGTCAGAGATGAGGCCCTCCCCACTGACTAGGTGGATCTGGGCCCGGGGGAACCAGGCCAGCCAGCGCTCCAGATGCTGGGCGTACAGTCCGATCCACAGAGGGCTCCATAGAGAGTCAATCTCACCTGGGATCAAGACAAGACACAGTTACCTGTTTTAGACTTTGAAAGGGGGGACTGAAGACAGGACTGAAGAATAGAGTCTTTGTGTGGGTACTGAATTAGGAAAAACTATGTTTTTGTGTCATTCATCCGTCCAAACATCCATTCATTCATTCATTCATAGGCCTACACAATAAAAATGCATCACTATGATTCTGACCATTGGTGCGGTTCTTGAAGGCGAGGGTCTCGAAGGCGGGGATGTGGGGGGTCTTGGAGATGATCTGGGTGTAGTCAGAGATGGCCCGGGTCACAGGGTCTCGGACCACCACAATCAGCTTCACGTCACGCGACATGGAGTGTACACGCCCCGGGGTCTCCACGGTAACAAAGTAACGCGGTGTCTTCTCCATGACAACCTGGCCGTCCAAGGCCTTGGGCATCATACTCCTGGGGGATGGAGGGAGAGAAAGGGAGAAAGGAAAGAGGAAAGGGAGAAAGGAAAAAAGAAAGAGAGAGACATGTTTAGTGTTTAAATGTTGTAACTTTGGAAGGCAGAAGTAAAAACTATTAGAATTAAAGCCATCTGGAAAATGATTCTGGTTGGGCTAAACAACCATCTAAAAGGCTTTATTTGTTTCCTACTGGCTGCAGTTGATGGTCAGACCTCAAGGCTGTTCTTATATGTATCAGTAATGGTGGCTGTCATTACTCATGTACAGGCTACATCAATCATAGAGGGGTACTGAGATGCATACGCACACACACACACACACACACACACACACACACACACACACACACAGGGCTATACAGCGCCTTCCGAAAGTATTCACACCCCTTGACTTTTTCCACATTTTGTTGCGCTACAGCCTGAATTTAAAATTGATTTAATTGAGATGTGTCAATGGCCTACACACAATACCCCATGATGTCAAAGTGAAATTATGTTTTAATTTTACAAATTAACAAAAAATTAAAATCTTGAGTCAATAAGTATTCAACCCCTTTGCAAGCCTAAATAAGTTCAGGAGTATAGCATTTGCTTAACAAGTCACATAATAAGTTGCATGGACTCACTCTGTGTGCAATAATAGTTTAACATGATTTTTGAATGACCTCCTCATCTCTGTACCCCACACATACAATTATCTGTAAGGTTCCTCAGTCCAGAAGTGAATTTCAAACACAGATTCAACCACAAAGATAAGGGAGGTTTCCCAATTCCTCATAAAGAAGGGTACCTATTGGTAGATAAATATACAATTTAAAAAGCAGACATTGAATATCCCTTTGAACATGGTGAAGTTATTAATTACACTTTGGATGGTGTATCAATACACCCAGTCACTACAAAGATACAGGCGTCGTTCCTAACTCAGTTGCCAGAGAGGAAGGAAACCACTCAGAGATTTCACGAGGCCAATGGGGACTTTAAACAGAGTTGAATGGCTGTGATAGGAGAAAACTGAGGATGGATCAACAACATTGTAGTTACTCCAAAATATTATTATTATTTGTAATACCTAAAGGGGTCCTACATTTCAAAATCAAATAGCTAAATGATCCATAGGATGACCATCTTAAAACAATTCAGAATGGTTTGGGGACAGAGTTAGGACAGGATGGAGTGATGGAGATATGGAGGAATGGAGGCGGAGAGAGGGGAGAGAGGGAACAGTGTCCTCTGGTATGAGCATGGATCAGGTTTCAGCTCTGAACACTCCAACCCCCCCCCCCCCCCCCCCCCCCCATGTGTGTGTGTGTGTGTGTGTGTCTGCATACATCCATGCCTGCCAGTGCATGGTCATCTAGTGCAGCTAAAGGGATAGAGAGCCCATGCATGAAAGGAGTAGATGAGTCATAAAGGAGTGATGGAGTGATGGGTACAAAAGTACTTCCATTAGGCTGCTCTCATAGAGAAGCCTTGAAGCCAGTACCATTGAGTCAGCATGGAACAGAACTCCATTACCTTATCACAGAGCCCTGAGAGCAAATTCTCTATATTCTCTACATTGTTCTCATAGAGTCTACCCAGTCACTCATGTGTATTGAGTGTTACAGTAATCATGTCATCCATGTGTAGATGCCACGCAGCAGGATCAGACATCCTCTGGATGAAAAGAGAGATTTTTACAATCTCTCTCCAATTTGTCATCCACTTCTCTCTCTCCATCTCTCTGTGGAGCGCCATACCCCTACTCTCCCCCCACTCCTAGGCCATGGGGACTAGCCCAAGAAGACTCTGTGCCGTGCAGAGCCATAGGTATTGATCCTGGAGGAGTGGGGGATAAAGTGTGTGGGAGAGTGTGTATGTGGGAGGAGGGGGTAGGGTAGGCCTGGGTCTCATCTGGGCTGAGGGTGGCAGGTGGGGTTTGGGGGAGCCTCTGGAGTCCCATCAGCACCGTGCTGTGTGTATGTGTGTGCATGTGTGTGTGTGTGTGTTTGTGTGTGTGTGTGTGTGTGTGTGTGTGTGTGTGCGTTTGCGTGTGCATGTGCGTGTGTGTGTGTGTGTGTGTTATAACAGATGTGAGGCAATTACAGTGTCTATCACACACACACTCTGGGGTCAAAGACCATCATATGACAACGGAGGGAGGAGAGATGAGAGGGTGGAGTAAAACTACATAAACTAAAGACATCTGAATGTGATAGAATAAACTGGAATCAACTGCTATGGATCGCCAAATATATTTAGTCTACATACATCATAAGGAAGCAATGTTTCAATGACAATAGCCATTATTTCAATGAAAAACAATGAAATTGTTATCTTATTGATATCCACACGGAGTGTGCATTCGTGTGTGTGTGTGTGTATATGTATGTGTATATGTGTGTGTCGGACTGAGAGCCCATTCATCCATTTCCCTGCGCTGGGGACCATTAAGGCTCTAGTCCATTGTAGCGTTGCCCTGTCCACTTCCAGCAGACATCCATCATAGAGGGGCCCAGACCCCCCCTGCCTCCCCTCTCCAACCCCCCAGAGAGAGCCTTAATGAGGGCTAGATCACCCCGGCCGTCTGGGCCTTATGGAGATCACACACATTACAGTACTGGATGGGTGGATGGGCCCCGAATTTAATATAGAGATATTATAATATAGAGATAGATAAATGTGTGGGAGCGCACACATACACACAAATGCATGCACAAATTCACACACATAAGCAAGAAACACTAGTGTATTTCCCCTTTCAAAACACTAATAATATGTCATAACAGAATTCAGATTCCCCTACCCTTAGCCCAGTTTTTACTCTTCCATTCAAAAACCATGCTTAAAAAGAATCCACTAGATTCCCTTTCCTGTCAGACGTGATCTCCTCTAACACAGCCCTGCTGAAGATCACATGTATTGGCAGCCGTTCTTCAGCCATTTGCATGGCAATTATATTCCTGTGTAAAAACACAGGCACACATGCAACGTCAAGCCCAAACAAAGCACAGGATCCATGGGTATGAATTGATATGCTGCTTTTAACGAGTTCATCTGAATTGTAAATGAACCACAGCCATGTGAGAACATCTGACTCTGCAAAGACCACTAAATTGGAATCTGTCATTTGAGTTCTAATGGGGAATGCGTTCTTCTCCAGATCAAAACGGAACACTTAGCTAGGCATCAGAATGGCTGCCATATTGAATTATTAGTAAACAACTCAAATTGATTGCAACACAGTCATCGTCCATACGTGATATTGCACTTACACTATATGATTGGTAAAGACAGATTTATATACAGTAAGTGAAACAAAATTACTAAAACAAGAAAATGAGACACAAACTCTACACTCCATTATCGTCTCCCCAGCTCTAGCAGTAACTCATGGTCAATACTACATCAATACATCTCACTGCATCAGGAGAGAACGTTACCCTATAGCCTCACAGGAACACACAGAGGCATCACTGAATAACAAGCCTCCAGCCTCCAGCCTCCAGCCTCCAGCTCTGGGAGTATAGAACTCCTATGACATTATTTTGGGGTGAGGAAAAGGTCAATGGAGAAGTGTGTGGTTGTGGTAACACAGAGTTGACCCTTTCACCTCTAATCTCTGCTTTTCATCTGCACAGTCACACCATCCTACCCTCAATATTCTTTAACTCTTCTTTCATTCGCACACGATGCATCTGCTAGAAGACTCAGGAGGAAAGCACCATCATCATGTGCTATAGGAGGTTAATGCACAGCACGGAGAGAGAGAGAGAGAGAGAGAGAGAGAGAGAGAGAGAGAGAGAGAGAGAGAGAGAGGAGAGAGGAGAGAGAGAGAGAGAGAGAGAGAGGAGAGAGAGAGAGAGAGAGAGAGAGAGGAAGAGAGAGAGAGAGAGAGAGAGAGAGAGAGAGAGAGAGAGGGGGGGAGATACAGAGACAGAGGAACAGACAGACACAGAGGGACAGACAGACAGACAGACAGAGACGCACAGACGCATAGACAGAGACAGACAGAAAAAGAGAGATCCAGTAGGTCAGCACTAGTGACTGAAACCTGACCTCTATGCATGTGTGAGAGGATTATTCCAACGCAGGATAAGACTTCCTGCTAATTGTAACTGAATCCTGTACTAACCAGAGATAACACACACACACACACCAACCAGGTCTCAGAGCATTTCGTATTATTCTATACGTAAATCCTGGGACACTCCATTTAGTATGACATGTTACGTTTCATATGGTATGTATTAATTTGTGGATGTTCATCACCCCTTTCGAATGATATGTTACGAATGACGAATTCGCGAATGTATGATATTTTAAGAATTCTAGCTAGGTGGATAACGTTTGCTAGCTCGTTAACGTTAGCTAGACTAGGGGTTAGGGTCAGGTTTTAGGGTTAAGGTTTGGGTTAAGTTTAGGAGTTAGGTTAAAGGGTTAAGGTTAGGGGAAGGATTAGCTAAAAGGGTTAAGGTTAGGGTTAGGTGAAGGGTTATCTAAAAAGGTTAAGGTTATGGTTAGGGGAAGGGTTAGCTAACATGCTAAGTAGTTGCAAAGTTGCTCAAAAGTATTAAGTGGTTGAAAAGTTGCTAATTAGCTAAAACGCTAAAGTTTTCCGTGATGAGATTTGAACTCGCAACCTTTGAGTTGCTAGACATTCACGTTATACGCCCACCCATCCACCCCTAAGTAACCATCTGTCTTATGTAACCATACCAAACGTAACATATCATACTAAATGGAGTGTCTCAGATTTACGTACAGAATAATATGAAATGCTCTGAGACCAGGCTGCACACACACACACACACACACACACTGACCAGGGCTAATAGCTTTAGCAATCACGGCATGCCAAGGTCTTGGGAGGGAAGTGAAGCCATCGATCTGAGAAACAGTGTAAGGATATAACCTCTGCTCCATCTCAGTCCAGCCCAGTCCCGTCCTCTTCCTGATATTATCTATATATCTATCTCCAATCTGCCTGCCCGGTTGAGAGTGGTTCCTGTCAAGGATAGAGATCTGAATTGTCCTGATGAAGCAGATGAGAGCAGGGTGTACAGACAAAAAGGAAACATTTATTTATTTTTTAATCTAAATGCATGTTTGAAAGCTAAAAATATATATATACTTTTTGTGCACCTGACCATGCTCTTATCTACTGTACTTGCAATGTCTCTTCACAGACAGTTTTTTAAAAAAAGAGCCACAGTCTACATACACCATACACTGAGCTCTTCCTAACTTGAGTTGTACCCAATGATACACCCCACTGTGTAATGAAGTGGTGTGACTGGGAGCACATCATTATCTGTGAGGGTAAACTGACCTAGGGTCAGGATCAAGCTGACAGGCCTGACAGTGATGTCAAGTGGCCTGACAGTCTCAAAACCCCATCTGGTCCTGGGGACGGGACAATCTTGTCACTCTGGGACGTCATTGAGACATACACACACACACAAACACACACACAGTGGAGACGTGGTACACCCTGGCACACCCTGGCATATTGTGTGTGTGTGTGTGTGTGTGTGTGTGTGTGTGTGTGTGTGTGTGTGTGTGTGTGTGTGTGTGTGTGTGTGTGTGTGTGTGTGTGTGTGTGGACCTCTAGGATGAGACCAGAGCCAGCTGACTACGGTAACATCTGGCCTCAGCTGCAGAGATGATTGCACTGTCAGAACTCATCCAAACCCTCCCTGCACATAAACACACAAACAAGCACACACACACAAACAGACACACACAAACACAGACACAAACAGATTGGCATAGCCAGATGGCAGTGTCTCTCTCTGCCTGTCATGTAATCCTCTATGTGCTGGCCATGGGTATGTTTGTGTATGGCAAAAACAAACAAACATTATTCCTAGATCTATTTCTATGTTTCTGGCTGCGACACAGTGGTTGCACATGCAAATCGTTCTGTAAAATGCATTACCAACCAAGTCCACCATGCATGGGATAACATGTTTGTTATAAAGCAAAAACCAATACTTTCTGATACAGGTGCAGGTGCACTGAGTCAAAAGCATGTCTCAAACAAACAAAATTCATTGGATAACAATGCCCTTTGAGAAAATTGACATGCATGATATGTACCTGTACCAGTGCAAGCCTCGTGCGTAATGCCGGTCAAAGAAGTGCGGCTCAGAGCCCAGCGCGCGGATGTCCGGGTGCAGCCTGAGAAACTCCAGCAAAGCCCTCGTGCCACCCTTCTTCACCCCTATAATGAGGGCTTGGGGTAACCGCCGGGTCGCCGTCCAATCTTTACCCGAGTTATTCGTCTCCAAACCGGGCGTTATTGTGCTCCCTTCCCCGGTCCCTGGGTATTCATCTTCATCCTGTACCGTTACAACGTCCTTATAAAACGTCCCGTTTCTGTCATGATACCATCCCGTTAAGAGAAACTCCCTGGCGGGTCTGTCGGAGACTGAGTTTTCCGTTAGGTCCGACTCGCAGCATCCCGTGAAGAAGTAGAAGAGAGAGACGCAGATGATTCCCAAAGAGAGCATGATAATAAGTTTTTGGAGGACTCTCCTGGTGTCCCTATCCGTTGGTTTGCTGTGGTGAAAAGCTGCCATCGCCTTCCCTCAGAGTCCCATCCGAGGAGGGCCATTCTACTGCAAGCTCAGCTCACATAACTTCATCTCTGTGAAGACACGAAGCCGCTCAGAGAGAATTAAAGAATCCATAGTGCCGCTGCGTCGATTCCACAAAACTCCAATAAAGTCGCTGGCTGGCCCGCGTCCCATCTTTCCCTTTAGCGGTTCATTCTGCACGTATGAAATCCATCGAGTTGGCTGCTATTCCCAACGTGACCTCGCTTCTCCGGAGTCCCATGCACACCTCAGTCACCCAATCAAGGGATCAATTTCTGTGTTCTGTCCAGATATCCACCCACTCATTCGACCCTACTGGCATGGAGAATATAGCCTACAGCTGTTAATATCAGCGGCGCAGGGCTGGAGTGATCCTTTTCCCGGGGATTACCCGCTGTCTCCCTCCATGGGTCTCCAGGGACTGCGCGTCCTGGGGTCTCGCTCTCCCTCTTTCTCTCTCGCTCTCTCTATTCATTCTTATCATTCATTTATTCAGGAAAGTGTGCGCTGCGCACCGAATTAAATTGTCTTTGATTGGAGGGTCATGGCCGAAGGCAGGTCTAATCCCAACGGATTTTTTTGGGAAAAACGGACATGATTTTGATGCCCATGCACGCAGAGGAGAAGAGGGAGCAGTTATGGTGTGCATATCAGACAGATCTTGACCCCATCTGAATGTAATAAGTCAACATTTATCCAGTGATTGTATCTATTGGCATTTAGTGTTTTATGTAGGGCTATTCTTCAGTTTCTTCACAGCTTCTTTTTGTGCAACATATTGTCATACTAGCCTATAAAGTTAACTAAATTGTCCCTTTGGAGAGCCATTTCACTATTTCAACTAGCAGAAAACTACATTTTGTATTCACAAAAACACACAAAACCACATCAGCCAATATGGCATATATGGCACATTTCCAACACGGTTAGATGGTCAACCATATGTCTGACAGAGTTGATCACACCCTAATGGTGGTTAGTTCCTGTAAATCAGGAGGCGGCTGAGCACATAATTGGTTTACTGGTTAGTATTAGTCCAGTTATTGTGACTGAATGGCCAAAGCCTCCCGATTCTGATACTCTTTTGGTCTGTCTGTCTGATGTCCAGGCATGACACTCCCAAGGCTCATGAGAATAACCTTAAAGAATAAAGGTTAAATTAAAAGATCTTGGATAAATCAATCAATAAGCATAGGCTACAGGAGGACACTGGTGTAAATGAACATAAATACTCTCTCATATCACGTTTAACGACAACAAGGTTATTTCAGTCCCATTCTCCCACAAGATTGTGGTTATTTTAATACAACAACATAATTCACAATACAAATATATAATAAAAATATATATTGTGATATAACAGTAAACGTTAATACTAAGCCATGTGATTTATGTTATATTCTGCTTATCAGGTCTTTGTACCAGTGTTGATGTTACAGCAGGTTAGGGAGGAGCTACGGGGAATTGCGTTTTATTGTAGTAGAATAAAGGCGACTGGACTGAAGGTATGGTTAAGAGCTCATTGGAGAGTCGTTAGGGTTGACACACACACACACTTTACTTTCCACATGGTTTATCCCAGTCATCAGCCAACAGCAGATGTGACCCAAGTCATTACGTCAGAGGTCAGACGTGCCTTGAACTGTAAAAGTGCATAATAACCAATAACCGTTGCAATATTCATTTTTATATACAGTATTAAAAGATATGCATCGAATAAATTCCCTTGGGTTGTATTATCTCTGTAAGAGGGTCCCAGCCAGGAAAACAACACAGATATGCAAACATTGATGCAAGCAGTAGATCAAATCTACTTGTTCAAGTTGGGGGAAGATTTGATTTCTTATTCCGTAACTGAGTGATTCCTCATGAAACCCAGACAAAAATACCATGATTTTGGGGATTTTCAAGAATTGTAATCCATAGAATAGTCATTGGAGGAAGTAATATGAGCAGTATTTCGATTTTTTTTTACATTCATTTATGAATATTGAAAAAAATATTAACCAGTATATGATAAGTACAGAGTGGGATTTCTGCTACTCAGAGTTATCGGGTATTCAAACCAGCGACCTTTCGGTTACTGGCCCAACACTCTAACCACTAGGCTACCTGCCACCAAACTACCAGAGAAACACACCGAAACTTTGATATGAACATAGAGTATATTATTTTCAACAATATATTGAAACATTTGCCAAATAAAAAATGCTATATTTTCAATATTCATGTTAATATTTTTCAATATTCACAAATTAACGTATAAAAATGTTATTGAAATCTAAATACTACTCCTATTACAGAGCAAGCGGTAAAGCTTCATATGACACAAATGCTTGCTTTTGTGCAGATGAGACATTATGGAGTCTTAAAGGAGGCCTGGGTAAGGCCAAAATGTCATAAAAAAAATATTTCTCAATTATGCTTTTAGATACAAATGTAAAATATGTCAACAATTCTTCCTCCAGGACAATTCTATGGATGACATTTCGTGAAAATCCCCAAAACCATGGTCTTTTTTTGACTGGGTTTCGTGAGGAATCCCTCAACTGGATAATTTAGGGTTATGATAAGATTTGATTGGATCATGACAGAGAGACAGAATTGAGCCTGTCAATATTCGATTTCCTGTCTTATTAAGGCTTTATTGACAAGTCGTGTCCCCATAACCAACAGACATTCATCATTTCTGGAGACAACACAGAGGGCCAGACTGCCCTGACTGATAGCATTTTTTATTTTTCCCCCAGCAGGGAATGAAAAACAAAACAAATTTACATATAAACTTGTACCTGTCTGTCACGCCCTGGCTCTGGGGACTCTTAAAGGTTGAGCCAGGGTGTGGATTTTTCTATGTTTAGTTTTTCTATGTTTTCGTTCTAGATCGTTTAGATCTATGTTGGCCAGGGTGGTTCCCAATCAGAGGCAGCTGTAGCTCGTTGTCTCTGATTGGGGACCATACTTAGGCAGCCTGTGTTGCACTAGTATTTGTGGGATCTTGATCCGTAAAGGTTTGTTGTGTTATAACCTCAGGACTTCACGTATCGTTAGTTTGTTGTTTTTGTCATTTAGTACGTTAAATAAAAGTATGTACGCTTATCACGCTGAGCCTTGGTCCGTATCTTCAGTCAACGATCGTGACACTGTCTTACAACTATCTTTTTCCACCTTTTATTCTGCCTTTTATGTTTGATCCCCTTTATGAATATTAGGTACAATCTCTTCTTAGTAAATCTGGATTACTGCACAGCAAATTGGCCATTGTTACCTAGTGTTGATTTTTTAGTGTAACATTTCTGGTGTTGATTCAGGAGTTAAATTAACTCTTTAAGAGTAAAGTTAACACTCAGTGGTGTAAAAGAACCCCAGTGTTGGTGTTAATAACCAGTGTTGTGTGTGATTGTGTCAGCTTTACTCTGTGGAGAGTAAAACATTCCCATCAAAACCATGCCAATCATTATCATATTTCCCAGCATGCTCAAATTGTCCTTATATCCTCATTAATAATAAAGCACTTTCAGAGTTTTGTAGAATCAAGATATACTTTATTACACAGGCAATAGAGCCGAGCTGGTCTGCAGAGCAACTCCTTTTCAGCTCTCGGTTCTCATCCTTTATACAGTTTCATTTTTACTCATAATCCACACCTTCTAGCTTAATCCCTCCCTGGTCAGTTCACTCCACCATTGTTTCCCAACCTTGACCGTCCTCGCCCAATTTCTGTCTGACTCCTCCTCTTGAGTCACATTGTTTGTTTTTAATGGTGGCGTAATCTGACTTGTCCTCCTGTTATTACTCCGTTTTTGGAAACAATAGTGGCGTGACCAAACCCTATTTAGTTTGAGCATGTCTGCTGCCAATTCTGAAGTCTTTATAAATGATTATATAACAGGATGTGGTAATAAAGACTAGACGTGCAAATATTATTGTAATGTCCTGTCAAGAGATACGGACCTCTTGGTGTAATGGTTAAAATACTATATGAAGTATTATTGCATAACACCATTGGTGCAAACTACATACACTTCCTAGTGTTAAAAATAATATACTGTATAAGGTGTTAGGGAATTAACACTTTCAAAATGTAACAGCGTCAGCACTAAGCACAGTGTTAATTTAACACTCAAAAGTGCGGACCCATATAACACTGGCCCAGTGTTAAATTTAACACTGTCAGTGTTGATTTAACATTGGAGAATTTGTTGTGTGTTCTGATCATGTATGATAATGTCACAGGAACGAAGGCGGTCATCTCTCAAGCCAGAAAAGCTCTTAGCAACGCTCAACTGACCCTGAAATAAGACCGTAATCGCCAGTCACATATTTCAATATCAACATCATCATATCCCCTTATCACTGCAACCTTTCAGTTGATTGACACACCATTGCTGAAACCAAAAAGATTATAGACAGATTATGGTCAAAGATCAAAATTATTGAGATATTGTATGCTCAGTTACCCTGTTGATGTGTTTTTCCTGCTTCCTTGGATGAGAGACCAAGGTCAGAGCAGAGCAGAGCAGTCATCCTGGGTGGGAGGTTCAGGTTGTATATCTTTTGTCTGCAGCCGTACGTGGAGCAGATTATTCCGTGATGAAGTGGTCGTCAATAAAAGCGTGACCCTGAGGTCAGGGCTGGTGTACGACACGGTGATTTATGATCCTACAGAGAGTAGAGCACAGAGAGAGGAGCCAGATTCATCCACACGCTGATGGAGACATGATGAAACAGACATGGAACCATCAGGAGTTCTGAGTGAGAGAGAGAAAGACTGTATCTCTATTTGTATAAGATCTAACCTGAAACTCTGATGTCATTCTTATAGTACTCGAGATTAACTATGAAATGCTGTCATGTAGTTCTGGATTGGAATTGTGAAATTCCTTAGGGTAGAACACTCCACATTTTGCACAGTAGGCCAAATGGTTATCGATATAAATGTTTAAACATTAACTTATTCCAGGCATACAGTATATTTCCAG